GAATATAAGAATTCAGTTCTTGAACTTCAAATAAAAGTTTTTTTTAAAAAGCTCAGAAAAGTGAGTCAATTCAGCTAGAACTAACCAGGATGGTGAACTTCAAGAACCACAGTTGAAGTTGTGACATCCCAAAGATGGACAGAGTTATCACTACACCCTATAGCAAGACAATCACCCTCCTCATTCGAACCACTCACAGACCCCTGCTACCAATTCAACAGACCAAAGAAAAAAGAAGAAGAAAACTCACTAATATTCTCAAACTGATAAAAAAAAGAAGTTGTTGAACTTGAGGAAGCATTCGTACCTTCAAGAATGAAACATCCAATACCCAATTAGCAAACTTTGGCAAGGACTGTAAGAGCGTCAAACTGACACTCACCAGCTGCCCCATTGCAACCTGCAAACTAAACATCTTCACTCTCCTTTCGCCAAATACAACAATGTTGAAAGCAACAACAGAAGGCAATGTTCCTTCTGTGCAATCAGTAGAGCTACAACAAACTATCCCATGCACTCGAATGCCTTGGAACACGTCGAACGACCTTACCATTCTTCCCACTTCCAAATCATACACCATGATTTGAGAACCCGACCCTGTTTTGTTCAATAAAATCCATGTTAAAACGAATTTGAAGCTGAAGATTTTCAGAGAGAGAGTGATACTATGAAAGTCGTACCGGCGATGAGATAAGGGAAAGAAGAGAAGCTCGAAGGTAGGTGAAGAAAACATAGAGCTGATATTTCTCCGAGGTATTGACCGCTTTGCAGTTGCCAAGAACCTGTCTTCTTCTCCACTGCCATGGTTTGGCTTTGCTTCGTTGCTTGGAGTGCTCTGCTTGTGGAATGGCTGAACTTGAAACCTTTTCTTTGTTGTCCGAGTTACTGACTGAGCCGTTTGAAGGGTTTAAGCGTAATGGGCTGGGCTGGGCTTGGCCCAAACAATTTATGTAAGTGGGAAAAGATAAACCCAAGAAATAGAATCCTTGTACTTTAGCATGTTTCTTTCTTGAAAGGTCATCATCCGTTCTCCGGTTCCATTGCGTTTGCGGCACTGTTTTCTTCTTCCTCTGCAATCTCTCAGGCGCAGACGTAACGGCACAAACCAGAGACACACGGATGGGTAGAACAAAATCATTTAAGGATGAGTTTACATTCGGTTTGTTGTTGTTCCGAACACTTGAAGTCTTCTTGTGCAACAAAATCTCATCTTTTGTTGTTGTTCTTTTTGTTTATAGAATCTGATGTTATAACTTGTATCTCCTTGTTTGAAATTATTTCAGAACAAAGGGTTGAAGAATCACAGGACATCCTGGCCAAATACCCTGATCGAGTACCAGTAAGACCCACCAACAAGTTTTTTTTGTTTTTGTTTTTGTTTTTCTGTTTCTCATTTTTGGCTTCAACTCTGTTTACAGACATACAAGTTACAACTGGAGATTATGTATATTTGAGATTGAAGGGAAAAGAGATGTTATGGGATCATTCATATTCATTACTAACTGTCAGATTTCTCTGGGTAATGGTATCACAGGTAATTGTGGAAAAGTATGCAAGGACCGACCTTCCTCAGATGGAAAAGAAAAAGTAATATTTCAAAGCTGCCACCTTTATACTTTCTATCAGTTAACACTAGACCAAACCCTGTCTACAATTGTGATTTGTGTCTAAGATTGGAATGGGTGTGGCTGCTGATTTGCTATAACTTATAAATGATTGCCTTAGTGTGAGTAATTTATCAAAGGGTGTTGCATTACCTTGTCAAATCTCAAATGCCAACATTGTCTAACCAAATTTCTAAACCTTGGAGCATTGGGTTCCTCCTGCGATATGCTTGGAGGAGTAGAATGTTTTTTTTATAATAGGCATGTACACTTGAATTACACTAATAATAATAAGCTTATAAGTTTTAACATCCTTGTGATCATCTCTTTGATGGTAGATACCTTGTTCCCCGAGACATGTCTGTCGGGCAATTCATTTACGTTCTGAGCAGCAGACTTCACCTGGCCCATGGAAAAGCTCTCTTTGTGTTTGTGAAGGATACTTTGCCGCAAACAGGTAAATGGAAAATTGATTCTTTGTTTGTAGCATCAGTCAGCGCATGGCCTGTTTTGATTTTCTTGCCAGAATGATATTGTAACTTACAAGTATTTTTTCTTATGAATGATGAATGTCACATTGCAGCCAGTTTGATGGACTCTGTCTATGAATCCTTCAAGGACAAGGATGGATTTCTCTACATGTGTTATAGCACTGAGAAAACCTTTGGGGGCCATGCCAATGTTCAGAGATATGCACAATGATTTCTATTTCATGGTTGTAAATTCCTGCGAACTGGCTGGCTCTACCTTCCCACCGTGGCCTCACATCTCTGTTTGGAATGGATCATAACTTATTCTTCAAATGTTCAAAGTTTAGTTGTTAGTACAAGGAATCTTTGGATCTACCATATGATTATGATATGAACCACCTTTGGCTACCATTTTTTCTCTTATTGTTCGTTTATGTTTGGATTTTATAATGATTGTGCACGAATTATAATAAGTTAAGCAAATTTTGATAAATCACGTCAACGTGTCACGTGTTGCATCCGTAATAACTTCTCAAGTGTGTTAGCAAGTGGATATAGTAATTTATAACTGTTGTCACAAGTTTATTCATTCAATTTAGCCACCGGACATAAATCTGTTTTGATAAGGCTCCTCTCTCCATAGAGAGATATGATGCCTTACCTTTCTGTTTTGACCTCCAACTCCAAACAAAAAACTATTTATTAAAAAAAAAACTGAATTCACTCTAGAAGTCGCAAGAGATCCAAAGAGGTTCTTCAAACTGACCCTTGAGCTTATCTCCTCCAACTTCATTTCCCAAACGCAAACGCCCCATGTCCAACACCTCATCACCCTCAAGCCACGCTGGCGTCCCATTCTCGTACCCATTCCACGTCAGCCTCCTCAGCCCACTCCCGTCCAATCTCACCACGTACAAGTCCCCGTACGGCTGAAATTGATTCGGCAGCGACACCGGCTCAGCCGTCACGCCTCCCAAGTTCGCCGTCAACAACAGCCACTCCCCATCCTTACTAAAGCACACGTGGTTGATCCTCTCCCTCTCCACGTCATCTCCCGCCACGTAAACCCTCCTCAAACCCGAACCGTCCGGTTTGATTACGTAAATGCCGAACACCGCAACATCATCCGGATTGTGTCTGTTCGATGAGAAAGCAATGAGGTCTCCTTTCGGTGACCAGCTGGGCATTGTATCAATGCACTCGCCCTCCGTTAACCGACGAGCATCACCATTAAACTCGCCGTTAACGGCCTCAATAATGTAGAGGTTCTTGTGGCCGGTCCGACCGGAGCGGAATACCAACGACTTGCCGTCTGGGGAGCACGAAGGGAAGGCGTTGTTCCCTGTGTCCTCTTTAGTCAATATCTTGACATTGCATGGGATCTCCTCTTTATCACCGTCCAGATCAGACGGGTTAAATTCAATTCGTGCAATCTGGACCGTTGTTTTTGCCGACTGGAAGATTGGGCCCAGCGACGTGAAAATGACGTGTTTCTCTGTGGGGCTCCATGCGTTGTAGAAGGCTGCACGGTCCTTTATCAAATTCCAACGCTTTGAGCCGTCGGATTTGACGATCTTGATGCCGGCGTTGGCATCGAAATCAGGATTAAACGCGATGAGATCGCCGTTCGGAGAGAAGGTTGGGAACGAGCCGTGAATCCTCAGCATCTGGAGTTGTTTGATCGGAGACGAAACTGGCTCGAGATAAGGAATCGTCGTCTCCCCCCACTGGGTGGACTCACCGCGGAATCGGTGGTACCCGAGAAACTGGGAATTGGGAGAAACAAACGGGTTGTAATGGTGGAAGTTCGGGTTCAGAGTCTCGGTCACCGGACGAAAAGTCTTTGATTCGACGTCGAAGAGCTCAATGTGCCGGAAATTCTTTTCTGGCCGGTGAGTGGCCACGGCGATTTGCTTGCCGTCGTGGAGAGCGGCCGGAGTGAAGCAGTGGAGCCCGGAGGGAGTGACCCGAGTGGGAGTGATCGGGTACCCGAAAGAAGACTCGAGATCTTGGGAGAAATCTACCCGGAAAATGCTCCACCAGCCGTCGTCATCTTGGCGGTGAAAATAGATGACGGCATCGCCGGACCAGGTGGGCCAGCCACCTCGCTCACAGACGAGCACACGCTTGCTGGGCTGCGATGCTCGGAAGACGACAATATCGGTGTTGAGGTGGTGAAACTCACCGTCCCAAGGACGAGAGCCGTAGGACGCAACGGCGACGAATTGGCCGGAGAGAGAAATGGCGGGACTGTAATCAACGGAGTCAGAAGGAGTCAATCGGGTGGTTTTGGGGTTTTGGTTTTGATCTTCATCGAGGAGGAATGTGGTGGTAGTGGAGTAGAGAGCAGACCAGGACTTGAAGGGTCGATTGGGTTGTTGGTGAGCTGAGATGAAGTAGAGGGTGTCGTTTTTGAGGATGGGGCGGTCGTGGAAGAGGCTTCCGGGTTCGGAGTGTAAGAGTTTGGGGGTGGGGAGTCCTGGTCGGGTTAAGTAAATGGCGGGCAACCCGGTTCTCTCGGAGATGAAGACGACGGAGTGGGGATCGTCGTTGGCAAATTGGGCGTTGAAGTTGACGGAAATGCCGTCGGAGAGGCGGTGCTCTGGGGCGAGATTATTGGAGGAGGAGTGGAGGGGGAGTGAGAAAAGGTCGAAGCCGTAGTGGGGCCTGCCTATAGTGGAGAAGACGACAGTGCCTTTGGGGTCGGTCATTGTGATATGTGAGAGTTGCGAGAGAATTGAAGATGAAGGAGATGGCTTTAAGGCGGATAGATTTCGTGGAGAGAAAGACAGTAGTGGGGGTGGTGGTGTTTGAATTTGATATGTTTGAGATTTTCTGCGTATGAGCTGACGTAGCATTTCCTCTGTTTTTTTTGTCGTTGGCAAATTGGGCGTTGAAGTTGACCGAAATGCCGTCGGAGAGGCGGTGCTCTGGGGCGAGATTATTGGAGGAGGAGTGGAGGGGGAGTGAGAAAAGGTCGAAGCCGTAGTGGGGCCTGCCTACAGTGGAGAAGACGACAGTGCCTTTGGGGTCGGTCATTGTGATATGTGAGAGTTGAGAGAGAATTGAAGATGAAGGAGATGGCTTTAAGGTGGATGGATTTCGTGGAGAGAAAGATAGTAGTGGGGATGGTGGTGTTTGAATTTGATATGTTTGAGATTTTCTGCGTATGAGCTGACGTAGCATTTCCTCTGTTTTTTTGACATTTCCAAGACAAGAAGCATTTTATTATGTTATCCGACGAAGAAGACAAACGCAAAAGGATTACATTATGTCGAGTGGACCCAAAAAAACAAAAAAATGGGGGGTTGTTTTGTTTTTGCATGCGAGAGGTATCAAAGTTTAATACTAGTCCAAAAGCAAGAGAAAGAAGAATTTCTGAACGTAAAAGTTCAACACAAGAAGATGGTTTCACTAAATTGTAGACATTACAAACAATCTGAATTAAAGTAAAAAAGGAGATGGCATCTCACAAATGATTTGGGCATCTACCAATCAATAGATGGTTTTCAGGAGAAACGCTGGATGGGACGTATTTGACAAACTCTGCGTCTAAGCCATGTTCCTTCATCCACATCAACCTACCCATATCTATAATCTTCTTGCAAATAAACCCTAACACAGCCCTTTCAACTGCCTTCATATTTCTCACAATGTCATCAACTCCATAATCCTCACCGCATTGCTTCTTTTCACTGTCACAACAACATTGGTAAGCAACCATCATAAAAAAGAAAAAGAAAATCGAAGAGGGAAAGCCATCTAGTGGTTTGGCAATTAACTGTAGATTGAAAAGATAGAAATGTTAGAAGAAGGCATTCAGATAAACAAAAGTTCAACATGATTACTTACATAGATTCAAGATGCAATTTGCAATCAGTAACATCTGGGAGATCGGCACCATGATCAGCATCTACAGCCCAACTAGTAAACCAAGTAATTGCATGAAATTCCTCTTTTGAGATTCCCAACTCTAATAGATATTTCTTATCTGCAAGGAAGCCAAATTTTCTTCACCCGTTCATTCAACTTTGAAAAGATAAATGCACATAACTTAAATGACTTCAACTACTAATTCATAAATTGTATGGTGAGATAAATTGATTACTTATGTAGTGCTTCCACTGGCAGAGATGATGGCAGCATGTTGCTATAGCTACACCTCTCAGGTTTGGGTTAACACTCTGCAATTCAGCATTACTTTGATTACAGTGTTCACCAAGGCAACATCTCAAAGTCAGGTCTGCATAAAGAACAAAATGTACGAAATATATAAGTTATAATTAAGTTATGTGATTCAATGGAACATAAATTCTCACAAGCAACAGTTATTTGTTCTCTGTATGTGTAATGATTATTTTAGGGTATGTTTACGAAAACATATGATCACCTGTTGCAGGCCCACAAAGATGTTTACCAATAGCAATGTAAGGATCTTCCCGCAATGACTCAACGGCATTCAAGTTTAAATCCTCAACTGCAAATCAAACATTGTAATATCACAAGGTATCCGCCATCTTACGTATGATATTTTTTTCCTTTTTATTATCTAAGAAAGCTATCATTTCTGTCCATGGACACAAATATAGTGTTTGAGACAGACAAACGGTTTTGGCAGCATCTTCCCATATAATTAGCCATAACCATATGTGCATGTAATTTTATGAAATTAAAGGAATAGTGTGCACAACTGATATCTGCCTATTTGCTTGGACGAAGAGACAAAGAGTTGGCTAAAAGTTACAGGAGAAAACTCATGCACTTTCTTTACAAGGTAGTAGAGATAATGAAACTACACAAACTCTTTTCTTACCAGCAAAAATGGAAAAGAAAAAAAAACCTTACTGTCAATTCTCAAACGTTGCAATATCAAGCTCTCTTTCTGTCGCAAGGATCGATCTGCCTAGAAATAGCATCACATGACATACAGAATGAGTGAACTATTAGCCAATCTAGGTCCAAGGAAATGAACATCTTCAAATTTGATTGTATAAAAGTCAAGCCTTAGGAATAGATGCATTGAACCCAACTAACCTTTAACTTGTATGATTTTCTTTCAACCAGAAAGACCTTTTTTATCCCATAACAATCTGCCAGCATCTGTGTCAAGTATCCCCTCCCGGCTCCAAACTCAACCACCGCAGGGATACCAGTGCCATCATCATAATCTGCCCTCTCCTTTCCTAGAGAACTCTTCAATACACCAAGCCCTTCCAAGTTCCCAAGAATGGACACCTGCTGCATAACATGTTTCTCTTGAAATGGCAATTTTCTGCAAACAACGACTTTATCTTACATAATCAAACAACCCCACATCAAGAATGAAATGAACATTCCAGCTCATATATACCTGTCAACCTCTCGTTTAATCCATATCCCACAAGCTTCCGGTACCTTATATGAGTCCTGAATATCCTTGCATATAGATTCATGAACATGCTCAATTTTCTCAATTAATTTATAGAAATCAAGTACAGTCATACTATAAACAGCATTCCTCTTCATTTCTGAAAGAATGTTATCCAAAGACCCCGACACGGGGTCATTAGAAGATTCCAAATCATCAGCTCCTTCGGGTCTGAATGTTTCTAATTCTTCTTGGTCCTCTTCTTTGCCAGCATTGATACCTTTTTGGTAAAAGGGTTGGAGAGTCAAAGACTGCACTTGTTTGAGTAATGGGCATCTTCTAACATGTCCTTCAAGATTCTCTTTAAGTACAGAGCTATTGAATCACATAAACAATGGAAAGAAAAAAAGAAAAAAAAGGTTAAACAATTGAATGCAGAGACCATGCTTAGTGAAAGATTCTAACTGCCAATCAGACAGAAAAGAAGAGAAAGAAGGAGCTTACTGAGAAGGGTCTATTGGGCATGGAATCCACTGGCTATCGGACCTGGGTGTGTGGTTGCCACAGAATCTACCATAATTTGATGTTTTTGTTTGAACAAACTTTGAAAAATCAGAAAGCAAACTAAACCAAAAGGAACAGAGTAGAGAGAAAGATGCTGAGCTTACAAAGATTCGTTGAGGGGGATATTTGCACAAAATCTCTTCTTTTTAGGAAGCCAAAATTTGCATCGAGTCTCCATTGTTTGCTCTGTTTTTCACTCCTCTCCGCTTCCAGCCCTGCAGTTTGGGGACACCCTAGTCAAGTGTTTGAAACTGCCTCTTCCACCTAGAGACAGTGTTAGACAGATGCTGGAATGATTGTCGTATAACATTAACGGCACGTCGTTTGATTAGACAATGATGGGCCAAGCCCATTTTGTGAAGTAGCAGCCCATGAAAACACGCCACGTCACAAAAAACCTCCTTCGTCAGGGACATAAAAGTCATTTCCTGTCCAGACCCCAGGGTCCTCAAAACCCTAATCCCCTCCCATCTCTTAAGCGCACATTTGAGAGAGAGCTGAGAGTTGAAACCCTAGCCGAATCTCCCTCTCTCAGTCTGCGGAGAAAAGATGCAGATCTTCGTCAAAACCCTAACGGGGAAGACTATAACCCTAGAGGTTGAGTCTTCGGACACCATCGACAATGTGAAAGCCAAGATCCAAGACAAGGAGGGCATCCCCCCAGACCAGCAACGTCTCATCTTCGCAGGGAAGCAGCTCGAGGACGGCCGAACCCTAGCTGACTACAACATCCAGAAGGAATCGACTCTGCACCTGGTGCTTCGTCTCCGTGGTGGAGCCAAGAAGCGTAAGAAGAAGACCTACACCAAGCCCAAGAAGATCAAGCACAAGAAGAAGAAGGTCAAGCTCGCCGTCCTCCAGTTCTACAAGGTCGACGATTCTGGAAAGGTCCAGAGGCTCAGGAAGGAGTGCCCCAATGCTGAGTGCGGCGCCGGGACTTTCATGGCCAACCATTTCGACAGGCACTACTGTGGTAAGTGCGGCCTCACCTATGTCTATCAGAAGGCTGGCGGCGACTGAGTCAAACGCACCGTTTTGGGTTCGTTTTTAATATCACTATGTTAGGGTGCTGAACAGTTGGTTAATTTTAAATAATTCTGCTTTAGGATTTGGAACCGTGTTCTAATGGTTTATGCTTTATGTATTTTGATATGGTACTTAGAATTTTAATTTCAATTTTGGAGTTCAATGGTTAGCTATTATTATTTATAATTTTGTTATTTTTATTTTTTCTGTGATTTTATGTGCTATTTGTTGTATGGATGAACTCAATCGTTCTCATCCAGTTGGTGGAATGTGGTTTCTGATTGTTTCTATTGATACAATTTCCGAATGGAATTGTTTGCTTAACAAACTTCACATGGGTTGATTTCCATCAACCCTCGAGATTCCCAATTTGATGTGGGTTCTCCATTCCACTGTGACTTTCGAAGTTGTTCTCCAATTATTGGGTGAAATTTCAGTCTGTTCTCTGGTCATACAGCTTAGAACTTGAACATATTTTATATTAGTTGTACGTCTGTGAATAATTCATTTTTTATTGAAATTTGTTTCCTAGAATATTGTCTTTTGTTCAGTTCAGTTCGATGTTTGTTATATTGACCATCAAATTGAGTTTTTAGTTGCTTCTGCTGGTAAACTTATTTGCTGCTGATGCGGTTGCATTGATGCACAAGATATAAACTGCCATTAATGTGCCCCATCTCAGTCACAATCGCAATTAGAAAAGCAATTTCTTTTGGAATTAGTGTTATCTAATCCTGTGTATCAATAAAATTTGTAATCATTTCCAAATACTATAGCGGGAATGATGCCTGTTTTGCTTAGTCTCATTGCTCATTTAGTGTCTACCCCCAAGCCTGTTTATCTCACTCCTCTCTCAACCCTTGTTGAACTCCTTATTTCTGTTCTGATGTCTATGATGTTTCCATGTCGTCCTGCAAAATCCCAGTAAATTGTAAAGTTTGTTTGGTCAGATTACCTTTTGTCTGCCTAGCAATATCTTAAAGGAAGCATAAGTCATGCTTGTTGAAGTAGTTTCTGGTTCTGCATTTTTTATCGGGTTTTTCCTATTTTTCAAGGTAGCATTTGGTTTCTGCATCTTTAAAACTTTAATATGTAATGCCCATGTTCCATTGCCTTTCAATAGCAATGTTGGTTTTGAAAATCTCTAGGTAAAAAAAGTTAATTGTTTCATGATCATGGTATGCCCACAAAGAGTAAACTTCCTTAGTTATTGTTGCCAAAGTTAATTGAAACTTTTTTACCATTTAAATGGAAGTTTGTGTTCTATTTTACCAGTCTCCCACCATGCCACCATGTGAGCATGCCCGCGCCATTGGCCTGAGCTTTTTTTATGCACTCTGTGTTGTTCATTTTCCCTTGTCTACGAAACTTTTTAAAATTCACACGTTGAATTGGATTTGAGGATGGGGAAGGATTGAGAATATTTTCTGTTATTGTGGATGTCATTTCTAGCTGCCTGTCTGGTGGGTTGAACAGCCTTTCGACCCGTTAAAATCACCAACTCCATGGCCAATTATATTCTAACCAGTAACTTGTAAAGGTAGATGTCTAGCCCGAATGACAATTACAAAGTAAAAATGGCAAGCTGCTTAACATGTGTGTGGATATATATTGGCAGCTCACCCTAGACTTTGTAATACAATGTGTAGAGCTTAGCAGTATACAAAATCCGAGCGATTAATCCCCAGAAGATTTAGAACAAGTGTCTGAGCTTGGGAGGATTGAAAATTTGGCCTTGACGATTAGGGAGTATATCCAAAAACAGGGTATGTGCCATACTGCCAATCCAAAATACCTGTAGTAGGAATGCACATAATAATTTGGATAAGATTCTTTTTTTATTTAACAAAGATAAAAATAATCGAAGGTTATGGCTTAGGCGACATACCATAAAGGTGCCCAAGGTGTATTAAGCTCAAGGAAAGGATATGGCCACCTGCAGGAACAAAGGATCTTAACTTAAGCCAAAACAATTTGTGTGCATTAAAATAATTTCTTTCTGAAAACAATAAAAGAAAGGTTACCATTTAACACCACAGGCGTGAAGGAGCCATTGGAATACAATATAGAGGAAGCCAAAGAACGCAAAATATGCAAAACCCAACTTAGGAAATGGCTGAAAACAACATGCAAAGTAGAATCACTAGTTTTGTGGTGTGAAAAAACAACATTCAAAACAAAATGGCAGTTTTTTCAAAGACTTACAAGCCTATTGAGAGCGGTATCCCCGATTAGAAAAACAGCATTCACAGCATGTATGGCACCTATCAACTGCCATTGACATCATGTATCAGATTCATATGTTAAGAGGAGAGGAGATATGAATTAATCTTCCGGTGTTAGAAGAGAGGAGAAGACGAGCAACTCACCAGGGTCAGTTCGAATTCTATGCTTGTTAGAAATGGTAGTATGAGACACCAAAATACAATGTCTGTTAGCATCACAGCACCTGCACATATCTGATTTCCCAAACATATCTCACTCATATTAGCTTCAAGCCCTCTAACTAGACAGCCATATATGATCCATGTTGGTTTCAAATGACATAATAATACAGTAATAATACTATAGCCCTTGTAAATTATAACAAAGCTAGCTTCAAAGATTAAATCTACACTAGAATCAAGGATCAAAGCATTCAGCACTCAAAAAGATGGACAAACCTGATACATAATCTGCATTAGATTTCCAAAGAATCCTGCTCTTTGGCTTATCTCATTTCGAGCTTGGGGGCTTTTCGATTTGACTCTACCCTTCAATTGTTCTTCTCTGTAAGTAGACCTTCCAACCCAACATCCATGTGCAGATATAATTGTTCCCAGCTACGCACACAAACAAAAAGCATATGCAAATGTAAAGCAAGAGATGCTTAATTTGATATTTTTGAAATGACCAAGCTAGTTTGAGTTGATTAACTCTTTCTATGTCATACCGCAAAATACAGCATAACCAACGCAAAAGTCCACCTGCAGCCCAATTTTGCCACAAAGATTACACAGCTCTTGTTGTTGTTAAATAAAAAGTCTAATAATTTCAACAACTGTGTGTGATGTGTATGAATCAAAGCTCTTACTGGGTGTAGAAAACGAGGGTAAAAAGCCCATATTGGGAGACCATGTCATAGAGCATTTTGGCCATACAAAGGAAGACCAAAGCTCTGTAAAAGAGAAGCCAAAGAGGATCGAGGGATCTCCAGCATGTGCTCCACAAGTCCACAGAATTCAAAGGTTGCTGCTTTGCTTTCTTCACAAATTTCAGAGCTATCACTGTTGGAACAGTAACAATCAGAGCACAAACCAGCACTTGCCATTGAAGCCAGTAGCCAGGGCCTTCCCCTTCTTCACTGCTCATTTCTTTCTCAGCAAACCCAGAAAAAGCAGAATCTCAACTCTCAACTCTCAACTCTCAAGTGGGATTTCTGCAAGAAAAAGAGGGAAGATGACTGGATGAAAAATGCTAAGCAATAATGGCCTGCCGGGTAGGTAGTTGAAATGAAGTGACTGACTATTTAACTATGGAGAGGCCAATGATAGTTGTATGGGTGTGAAGGCCCACTAACTTGTTCACGTCTCATTACTCACGGACCATATGCCTTGGAATTTTGTTCTTAGTTTGTAACTGGCTTGTTGTCGTCTGGTTTTTTTAAGGACAAACTACAAAAGATCCTCCACATTGTGTGGTCATTTTAATTACATACTCAAATCCCTGAAAACCTAATAATTCATCAAAAACATAAAAAGAAAAACTTCTACATACGTCATGTTGCCATTGACATCAATGTAGGAGTTCATACTTACAAAGGAGGGAAGGAAGTATTTTCCAATAATAATTAGCTCTTTCTCTTGAAAATAGTCATTCTTATTTAATTGCTCACTCGCGCAAATTATGACCCTAATCGAACTTAACCCTTGAACTAAAAAATTTGCCAATTTAGCACCCGAATTAATTGAAATGGTCAATTTCTCCCCTATCATTAGATTTTAGATAATTTCATCCAATTCTCCGTTAATTTTAGGGATATATTTGTATTCTTGAATAAAATAAAAGTTAAATAGATAAAATCAAAAGAAAAAAAAATTAGAAAAAAGCTTTATAAAATTTATAATTTTTTTAAAAAACCTAGCCCCAGCCACATCCCACCAAGACCTCCGCAGTGCTTCGGGTTCCTTTCCAGTATTTTCCATGTAACCCAACCCTAATCTCCAAATTTCTCGACCAAAAACCAATTAATCACCCGCAAAAGCAAAAGAAA